AGGTGCGATCTGAAAACTATTAGTTAATATAAATAAACCGTAGTTTGTTGTAAACTGTAGTTTTAAAATAAATTACTGCTTATTTATATGTAATGTAATTCACAGTTCACATCTCTAGATCTTAGGTGATGTGTATAAATCAGAAAACGTACGTGGCCAATAGAAATGCTCCACTTTTAAGTTTCAAATTTCATAATTTTAAAATTTTAAATTTTAATTAAATTATATTCTTAGATCAAATAGAACATCGTAAATGCACATGAAAATAAATTATTCTCGGCGCATATAAATATCGGCTGATTGCTTTTTTTAGATTTATTTTTTTTTAAAAAATAAACTATTACACAAAGGTTTGCACTTAATTAAAGTTGAAAAAGTAACGAACGAAGTACTTTTACAATCAACAAATAGGTGTTCTAATATTTGTGCAGAATAAAAATGATAAAATATAAACTCTTAATATGCTCAAAATCAGTCATGTATCTGAGTTTAAAGTTAATAATCAACACCACCCTGATTAACCAACAAAAAAGCTCTATTAGTTATAATATAAAATGTAAAAGAATAAAAGATCTTTTGAAGTATTCTTTGAGCAAGTATACTATATAAACTACACGTATCTAACCCTAATAAAAATGCTAATCTAATGATCAAATAATGAAGTATTTTTCGACAATCATGTACCCGAAAGTTTTGTTAGAGATGCTGGGAAAGATCATAAACAAGTGAATTTATAAAAAAATATTTTTAAAACTTCATCGCAGAAAAAATTATCGAATTACAAAAACACAAAAATGAAAATAAACACGAATTCAAAATTAGATGAACAAACTAGCTGTTCTATGAGTTTGTTCTTTATAGAGTTTAAGGCTCGATATAATAAATTAGTTGAGGATATTTGTTTAAATGATTGTGCAAATGATCTTTAAAGTGGGATTAAAGAGATGAGTTTGAAATTTATATAAAGAAAAAACATCATCGAATGTTAGTAAGTTTTACTGCCACTCGCTTACATTTAACATTTTTTACCACCTTTCATCAGTTTCACATTTCGACTTTTCAAAAATTTCTAGCAAATGTCAAAACTATGTTTCGATTTTATTAACAAAAAACCCTCAGGTCTCGCCTGATAACTGTATTTGGATGCCAATTCAAACAAAAAGGATACTTTTGTCTATAATTAAATACATAGATGCCATAACTTCCTAATATATATATATACTTTCGAAATTAGCACTTTTTTTGTTATAGGGCAAATCGGTTTTTATCCCAGTACCTATTAAAAGGGGTGCCTATTTTGGGTGAATATATAGGATGCGGGAACGCTTATTTTTGGAAGTATAATTTCGATATAAAGTTAAAACGTTCTTATTAAATTTGCATTAAGTTGTTTGCATATTGCTAATCTTCAATCGTTTTTTTGAATTAAAATTTATATTTTTATAAAGATAAATTGTTTTTAACCTCCCAAGAAACAAGCTGCCAAAACACAAATGATAAGAATATAAGTGAGAAGAAAATATTTAACTCTGTAATATAATGGGATTAGAAAAAGTTACTATAGTTTATCTTTCTAAGTGTAAATTACATAAACGCATATTTTATATAATTTAATTTAAATATAAACTTAAGAATTTACTAATATTTTCTGAAAATTTATTCGTATCATATAACTTGCTAATATAGATGCCTTTAGAATGTATTTGTTTAATTGATTCTGGTTAAATTTTATTAGCTTCTAAGAATTATTTTTTGCTTAGTTACACAACAGGGTTACCCTAGTAAAATTTTAAGATATAAGCAATTTTATGAATATGGCTACATGTAGCCATGGCTACAAATATATAATTCCTTTATATAATTATATAATCATATATTTATATTAAGAAAAAATAACCTTAATATATTGAAGAAAAAAGATTTAAAATCAGGTTAAAGAGCAAATGACAAAAATTAAATTTTTTACCTAAAAAACAGTTTAGGACTTTACTCCACAAATATAAGAGCTATAGATCTAAAATTTGAATATTATGTGTGTTTTGATGAATCGAACAAGTTTTCTTAAAAAATAAAGTTAGGCTAGTATAGTAAAATTTGTGTAAACAGATGTTATTTGTTGAATGAATTTTAAGTAAATTTTGTGTTAGGAATTTGCAGGAAGAGTTATTAGTGGATTTATAGTAATTTTTATTATAAACTTACACTCATATATAAATATATGTGATATCTGCTCTGACTAATAGAGGGATTGACATAAGCAACATATGTATGTATGATATTTTTGTTACAATTATTAATGAATAGACAATTGTAAGATTGTTTTTTATAATAATCATTACCAATATATTTTATTTACAGAATGCTACAATTAATCCATTTTAAGATTAGAGATAGTTTTAGGTTAGAAAAAGTTCTAGTTTATGATAATTTTGATGAGAAATATTTCTTGTTAGATATCCAAACCTGTTTTTATATTCAAGACTTTAAATATTAAATTATCTATGTAAGTACACATAGTGTACAAATAAATTTCTAGATTAATATATAGGCCATTAAATATTAAAATAACGATAAAAATTTTTTTATTTTGTAAATATCTAATCTAATTCTCTGTTATCAGACTAATTATCTGTTATCAGCACGTAGGCAGACCTAGAACTTTTTGTATCATTAATTATTTTATATAAGGATTTACGTGCCTTGAAATGGTTTTCTAATGATATTTTTTAAATTACTAAATATAATAAACAATTAAACCATTTATTTAATAAGTTAAGTTTCAAAATTTTATTAATTGACAAATCACCAGTACTAACAGACACGTGCTAAGGGATTATAAAGTTTTTATTGAGCTAAACTGTTAATTAAATTCAAATCCTTAGTTTTAATTAAAACATCAAGCTTCATGTTGCTCACAACACAATATGCGCACCTTGACTTTAAAGCGCCAACTTCATGCTTGAGGACATGTTCTGAATCATTAATAAAAGCAAATCTATCTGCACGTACTTGTGCCTGTACAGCTTCAGCAATACATTGCCTTTTTTTCATTTGTGTTAATGAACATAATTGACAAGCATTCATAAAATTCAAACCTATATTTAATATAAACATTCAATCAGAATCATCATTGGTGTAGAAGTTCCCTCGGAATATTCAGATAAAGTATTATTTGAAGGATTGGTTGATTAAATTTATCATTATAAAATTCATATATTAGATAGTGACTAATCTTATTGCCATTTACATATTCATTTGTCAAACCCGAAAGAAAGTAATTAAGTCAAAATAGCATTATTGTCCTGTTAATTAGTGTGTTGATTAGTGGACTTTTTTTTCAATATTCATTAATTTTAATTGTAAAATAAAGATCTGTTCTCTTAAAATTATTCTATGATGATACCTATTTTTGTTAGTCTTTTTTTATATATTTATTAATCCTATTTTCATGATATATATACACTTATTGTGAAAAGAAACTTTGCGGTGAATTACAGTCAGACCTCTCTAAGTGCATATTATTGGGACCAGCTCTGAGGTATGCATTTAGAGAGGGTTGCATTTAAAGAACACTAATAGAATTATAGTATATGAGCAACCGTCAATAGAAATTAAGCAAATCTTCATTTAAAAAAAAATCAATACCTCATATCTCGATGAATTTTAAAGCTATCTTAATAGTTTAATATTCAAAAGAAAGCTTATGATCTAAGCTTTCATTTGAATATTAAACTATCAATATAGCTTTAAAATTCATCAAGATATGAGCTGTAAAATTTAAGGCATTAAATTTTTTTAAATGTAGATTTGCTTGATTTCTATTGAAGGCTGCCTATATACTATATAAGTCACATGTTAAAATTATCTTGTATGGGATTATATAATCTTGTTTTGATTGGCTAATAATCACGTGATATGCATTTATGGAGGGATTTATATAGGTGGGTCAGGAAAATAGTATGCATTTGCAGAATAAAGAATATGCATTTATCTATTAAGCCCGTTGATGGGCCAGATAATTAATATGCATTTAGAGAGGTTATGCATTTAGGGGGATGCATTTAGAGAGGTCTGACTGTAATAGCTTTCTGTTTTAAAATGCGAAAAGTCTTATTTTGTTCATTATCTCTAGCAATTTGCATAATACTGTATAATATTTGACAATTATTTCAAAGTGAGTGATTCCTTATTGAAAATAATTAACGATATCTAAAATTCTTCTGTAATTACGTAATTGTGAATTGATATGACAACTTGTTCAGCTGATTGCAAGGAAAATAATTTCCATCAACATTTTAACAAGATCATAATTTATTTATTAGTATTATTACGAAATGAAATTATGTTGCACTATCTTGAATTAAAACAGTTTTATAAAATTTCAACGTCTCAATCTTGATAGTTTATAGTTAGCACCTTCAATTACCTAATTTTTCGAAATTTGAAATGTTATATTTATCTAGTATGCGACTTTGTGACCGAGATATAATGAAATTATACACAAATCTAAAGCATGGTTGAGCTTATATTAATGAAATGATCAGTAATTGTTGAAATGAATGTCTAAGATATAAATGTTGCCCCGTAATTTAGATTATTACAAATATTTAATGCCTGAAATAAATTTTCATTCAAATATCTTTGTTCTTGAGTAATAATTTGGCTAGTTAGAAGGAATAAAACTTTTAAATCACTTATGTAAGAATTTTATAATGTCAAATTTTTTATATTTTTTAAATATTTTATTCTTTAGATATTTCCTTATTTGACATGAAATTATCAGGTCATAAGTTATTTAATAAAGTTTGGAGATTAAAATAGCTTTTTTTTTTATGATTACTTCTCTGTTAATAGGTTTAGTTTATTTTAGATTTAGATTTTTTTACGAGGCAATTTGAATCGTTACAGTATTAATCAAATCAAACCTATAGCAAAATTATCAGCTGGACATTTTTTTGTTTAATGAATAGGCTACGACTTCATTAATAAAGTTTTAGTATACATATAGGCGGATCAAAACCCATCAGTTATTACAGAAATCCATCAGTTATAATTCCATAAAAGGCCAAAGTTAAATTACTTTACTCAAGATCTGGTCAAGTGATCAACAATTTTGGCCGGAATTATACTGATGGGTTCTTATATTTATTTGACTGTGCAAATCCGCCGATATGAGTTACACTAAATACATACATGCATGCAGACTAACGTTTTTTAACAATTGATGTAACTTTTGTGTCACTGACTAAATATAAATCCGGATAATGAACGTATTTATTTAGTATTGGATTTTTCTCTTAAAGAATGGACTCTGAACAACTTCGTGATCTTGGTTACAATTATGAATTTGGTATTGGCGTTGAGAAAGACGAAAAGAAGGCCTTTGAATGTTATATAAAAGCAGTTGAGTTAGGGAATTCAACTGCAATGAATTATGTTTATCTTTGTTATAAGTATGGAATCGGAGTAGAAATAAATTACCAGAAAGCATTTGAATATTGTAAGAGATCGGCTGATTTGGATAATGCTAATGCGATATGTAATATTGGTGCTTGTTATGAAACGGGAAGGGGGGTTGATCAAGATTATAACAAAGCACTTGAATACTATAAAAAAGCTGTTAATATGGGTGCCGAGAAAGCATCGGTTAATGTTGCTCGATTTTATCGTAACGGTATCGGTACAAAGAGAGATATTCAAAGTGCAAATTATTGGTACAAAAAATATAAAAGCCTTTTAAAAACTAATAAATCACCAGATCATATCAATCGTGAACTTAAGAAAATATTAGACGATGATAGGTTTAAATTATCTTGGATTGATTATAATGAGTTCAGATATATCAGCGAAAATGGAAAAGGAGGGTTTGCAACTGTATATCGCGCAACTTGGTTCAGCAGAATTAATAACACAACGAGAGCTGTCGCACTTAAAGTGATTCGTGATTCAAACAAAAATGAGCAAGAATTTATCCAGGAATTAAAGAATTTCTGTGAAATTGGTTATGAGAATCCTTCGTTCTTGAACTGTTTTGGAGTGTCAAGAAATGATTATGGTGATTATATTATTGTTATGGAGATTGCACCGAAAGGATCATTACGACAAAATCTTGTACAAGTATCACAATTAGAATGGAAAGATAAATTGAATATTTTGTACGGTATAGCTTTGGATCTTGAGTCGATTCATTCGCAGGAACTCGCTCACAGAGATTTACACAGCGAAAACATTTTGCAAGGTGACAGTCTGCAATATGTATATATTACTGATCTTGGACTTTCTAAAAAAGTAAAGGAAGGAAAAGTTTGCGGAATTCTGCCGTACATTGCACCAGAGATTTTGATGGGTCAATTGTATACTCAAGCATCAGATATTTACAGTTTTGGAATTATCGCGACAGAGATTTCGACTGGACAAAAAGCATTCGACGGAATTCCGTTTAATGATGACCTTGTATTAAAAATTATCGGTGGATCAAGGCCTAATTGTTTAGGACCAGATTGTTATATTAAATTAGTTATGAAATGTATGGGTAAAGATCATGATAAACGGCCTACTGCAAAACAAATTATTGAAATAATCACCCGTTGGTTAGATGAAATGGATCAGGATGATGATAATAAAATCAAGAAACAATTTTTAGAAGCTGATAAAATTAAACCAGAAACGAATAAACAAATACATCCACAAGATATATATACGAGCAAGATGTATGATGTGAAAAACTTTTCAGAGTATATTAGTAAGCCGATGAGTTCAATAGAAATCAGCAAATTCTCCAACTTAGATTTAAATTAAAATTATATAAAATATGTGTTTTTGTAACGTGCACTTAGGAAGGTGCAATTAAAGTAATTTTTTTAGCTTTTAAATTTTTTCAATATCTAATCGCTATTTATTATTGATATAAATGTTTTCTCTTAAGCTGTAAATTTTAGGTCATTATTCTTACCATTTGTCTTTTGTTTATTTTTCTTAAATGTAAAGTCAATTTATATCACATCTCAAACATTTTGAAAATTTTTATTTACTTTTAATTTCTATAAAAATATAAATTTTGAATTTAAAAATGAGTGAATATCAATATGCTAATCAACTTAACAATGCAAGTTTTGATAAGAATGCTATATTAACTTTATATGTAAATTAATATTAGAAAGTTATGATATCTATGTATTTATTAGTCCAAAAGTATGTTAAATATCCATTTTTTGATAAATTGTATCCAAATACACCCTCAACAATTACCCATCATACTACAGATCCTAAAACATCGGTGTATTTCAAAAAACGGTAAAAGCTCATTTCTTCATATTGCCAACTTTAACTACTGTAAAGATATAATGAACCTCAATATTTGAACTTTGGAATTCATGTGTACTTGTTTAAATGGTAATAAATATATTTTGATCGAATCATATGTCTTTTATTTTTTCGATTACTCACTTTGTTTAAAATAAAAAAGAATTAGCAAATTATTTGAACAAGAGATAACTGAAAATATATTTCTATACACAATCAATAAAGTTTATTTATTTAATCAATCAAGTCAATGTAATCAAATTGACGTATGTCACATTCTAATAGATATAAATTTTAAAATAAAATGTTAATTTAATATCAACATGAATCATAAGTTGACGTATAATATTTATACATTTGCAGAATTGAAAAAAACTCATTTTTAAATAGATATACATGTTCTTTGTCACTTTGCAATCGGTAATCCACTTATTTTTTTATATATCAATAAATAAATTTTTTAGCGAATATCATACATTCTTAATTATTTAACTGGCCTATTTTCTAGAAAAAAAGAACTAACGGGCTTATATATTTTAGTTAATGAAAATAATTTTTTTAAAATTATTTAATAGACCCATAATTTATTCTAAATATCTTTTTATAGATAATTTACCCTATAATAAACTCTAGATATAATGTACTGTACAAGGATCGAAAAACTTATTGAAAAAAATCCGAACAGATAAACTGGTTACTATTATTACAGTATTATTTTGTAAATTTAATGAAGTAAAGATAATATAAAT